AGGAGGGACTTCCCGCTCTAGTCAGAGGGGACCGGTTGACCGGCTCTTTGGAGGAAAGACGTCGCTTATGAACCAGTACACTTCCCAATTTGCGCCTTCGGGCAACAACGGACAGAGACGGAGACCTTCGAGAGCCAGTGTACTGGTCCCCTTTTCCTTGGATGGAAAGTCCCCCATAGTGGGGCCAAGGCAAAAGGGGGGGGGGCCTTCTCCTCGCTGCGCGCGCTCTGGGAGGCAGCGTAGCGTGTGACCCGTAAGGGTAGGATATCCCTGGGTGTTATGCCGTCGACAAAGCGTTGAGGCATCTAGCACCACGTTAGTTCCTATTCTTTACGATCTAGCCCAAGCAGTCGACCCGTTCGCTGAGCGCGATTGCCGGTTCCACGAAGAGAACTGCTTCGAGAGCCGTGACGACCCGTTGAGATCCAGTACCGGTTCGTTTTGTTATATATAGTAAGCAGCAGGCCAGACACTTTTCGTCCTGTGGTGCGTCTAGGCATGTCTTAAAACGATTGTAATTCGAGGTTGATGGGAAAAGCAGAGCAAGTCGACCTCCTGAAGAGGCCTGGGATTATGTCAAGATGTCTCGTTGGGACTCTATGGTGGTACAAGACTCCTTTCGAAGCATCCACTGTCCCCTGAAAACAGATCGCCTCGAGTGCGCGAGCAGCCCAGCCATCCGGTCAAGACTGCGCACAGATAAAAACTAACCCCGGACTTGGGATAAAAAAACCGACTTACGTGTCTTGAGAAGAGTGCCTCCCGTGACGTCCGATGTATCAAGCCAGAAGAATGGGAAAGCAAGAAGGAAGAAAATCGCGTCAAGGTAGAAGACTAAGGCAACCACTTAACCAGAGATCTTGCACAAAGTTTTAACTCCCTGTAAATAGACAATTTGAGCCCTCTCTCGCTTATGATCCAGTACGTAAATGAAAAGTTTAGTAGTCAATACAAGGCCACGATTAGTGCCGACTTTCTTACCAAGGAGATCATGCTGGACGACAAACTGGTGACGATGCAAATCTGGGACACGGCGGGCCAGGAGCGATTCCAGAGTCTAGGTGTCGCATTTTACCGTGGAGCTGATGCATGCGTACTGGTCTATGACATTACAAACCCCAAGGCAATTAATAACAGTGAAGATGTAGTAGTGAGGCTGCAAAGGGCTGACATTTCTATCGTTTTATTGTAGTCTTTTGAGAAGCTGGACACGTGGCGAGACGAGTTCTTGGCACAGGCAGGACAAAGAGACTCGGATGCCTTTTTCGTTTATTGTACTGGGTAACAAGGTGGACAAGGAGTCGGAACGAAGAGTGAGGAGAAATAATTGACTCGGGCTGAGGGTCTAGGAATTGTGGCTGTTGAATGACTTATCATAATCGTGGTGCAGGTCCTAAGGAGAAGGCGCACGAGTGGTGCCGTGGAAAGAACGTCCAACAGGTGAGTGGATATGACAGTGCTGCAATTACATGATTGGTGTTGATGTTTATTACGGTGGGAGTGATTTAGCCAATTCAGCACTATGAAACAAGTGCGAAGGAAGCGACGAGTGTGGAAGAAGCGTTTCAGACAATTGCTGCTTCGGCTTTGCACAAGGGCCATGAAGACGATATGTACGTATACCAGTATAAGGTAAAATTGCAAATGTGTGGTGATTTGTATAAAGTTGTCTTTAACCCGTGTTGCTTTGGCCGCTGCAGTGAATTGATCTCAGTTGCAAATCATCGAAGCGGGAGAGCTCTTCATGCTGCTAAACTGTGACGTTGTGTACTGCACAACGAATTTATAAGGACAACTCGACGTTAGCACATGTGATGAGTCATACCAAGACAAGGTTCGCGAGAAGCCAATGGAGCAATGAGCAACATGAACAAGCCAGGCCAGACGAGCGTAATTTCATTCTCACTTTTGCAGGACGAGCAATTCATTTGTTCGTTTCTCTTTCCGATAGAGACTAACCCCATTTCACAGGAAGATAGTTTTGTCCACTGCCATTGAGACCTACCTTTCTGCTTTCTCAGTGCACCATCTGCTGACCCATCGATTCAATTCGCTTTTGCAGACTTGAAAAATTATCTCCTTCGACAATTTCTCAGCTGTAGGAAAATGGTACTGCTTCATCAAATGTGCGTGCTGACTGAAGAAGCAAGAGTCTTTCCTGTGGACTCCATTACAACAATTCAGTGGGACACTTAAAGAGGGCACACAAAGAGATGAAGTTGGTGACAATCTCATGTTATGCCATGGACCAGCGCTCCTCCTGGCACAGAAAGATGAGGGCCGCGGCGCATGGCTGACGGATGCAAAGGTGAAGCAAAGCGTGAGTTACATCAGTGGTCTGACGCTGTAGACGGTGCAGCAGCGCAGTCAGCGTGGTTAATTGGCTACATGGAGGAAGCTATGCGGATTCAAGTCTCGAGGAGGATGTTGCAGCTGGAATATTCCATTACACGTACTGGTAAGTTGCCAGCACAGGTTGCGAATGTTGCTTCGATTACAGCAAAAGTACAGCTTACACCCGCCATTGTACTGAACGAGCCATAAAATACGCTGAGGAATGCATTCTACTGAACGAATGGGGTGTCATTGCTGTACACAAGAGCCCTTCGTTCATGAGCAGCTTGGGTAGATCTACCACAAGTGGAAAAGGTTTTGGCGAATGGAAAATGCTGGATGGATAGTTTCAAAAGTCTTTTCACAATAGCGTGAATACTTGCATACGAAGAAAAGTATTGTGATGGGCTTGCTGGGTATTGGTAAACCGACATTGCTGTGCGTAAGGGTTTCCACCTCGTTTCCAAGCACAAGAAAACTTTGCTAGTGTACCGACGATTGACCAAATTTGAGCCAAATAGTCTCTTTTACATAAGTTACGAAGATGGCAAGGTCAGTGCGGTTTGCAGTGCAGAGATGCAAAGCTCTGAAAGGCATTAACATACCCGAAGAGTTCATTCGCCAACAGGACATATCAAAGAAGCTGTTGCTGAATGGACTACAGTACCGCGATATATATGCAGACGTTCAAGATGCTGGCAACATCGCAGGAATTGGATCTGAAGTCTAGTAAAGAATTGATGCGTACAGCAGTCTGTTGCCATGTTTTTCAAAGTCACATCACTTCTTGATGAAAAGCCTCATTCACAAGACCTCTATATAATGAACTAACATGAGACATCAGAAACACTGAAAGAAATATGCTCGACATTTTCACGTCGCTAAAGGATACTTGCGTCAATGTCCTTGAGATCCAGCGATTGGCAACGGTATAGCTGTGTATATAACATCGTACAACAATAACGACAGTAAAGCACACGACAGTTTAGATTAGTGCCCAACACACCTCAATTCCAGGGTCTTCCGGACACGCAGCTCAGACACTGCTTTGACAAACGCTGGGCGACCTGCATCACGTTCTCCGTGAGCTTCTCCAGCCACGTCCACATTGTACTTGACCACGGCCGAAATAGGGGTAATCGGGGCGCCGAGGGGGCCGTAGCGGCCACAAATTTCGTCATCTTCTCGTGCTGAGCTACAGTGGCATCGTCCTTAACCCGATCCACCTTGTTCTGCAAAGTATTAATATTCTGCAAGCGCATGATCTCAATAGCGGCAAAAAGGTGCTCGGGCGTCTGTGACTGTGTGCATACTTCATTACAAACAGTAGTTAGCAAGGCGGCATCCACGTCGGAGATACGTTCAGCATCGTAACCATAAGAAACATTGAAGGAAAGGATGTGACTTGTTTAGTAAACCAGCTCCGATTAGCGCTAGAAAAATCTTACTTGTCTAAGTCGTTCGCTCAGCAAGATCGATATTATTATTTTTGGTAGTCAGCCATTCAGAACGGAAGGATGTCTCACGTTTTGGTCCCTGTGTGTTCGTATAAAAAAAATATCCATTCGCGTACAAAAAGCGAATATTCTGGCTCAAAATCATGGTAAAGCTGTTCTGCGCCATTGTGGGTGTGAAGGGAAGTGCGTTTTCCGTGGAGATCGATGTGACTCAAAGTGTGGGGGACTTAAAGAAGGTCATTAAGTCAAAAAAGGCGAACGCCTTGAAGAACTTTGATGCGGACCAGCTGCAGCTCTTCCTGGCAAAGGGAACGGACGACAAGTGGCTAAAGGACGACGATGCTGCTGCGCAACTGCTATATGGAGGTGAGATACATCCAAATATCCAGCAGATGATTAGTGTAAAGCAAGTGATGGCAACGAGGACCTTACAGCGTTGGCTCTTTGATGATAACAAGATGTCGCAGCCATTGCCAGAACAAATTCACGTGCTGGTGGTAGTTCCGTATCAGGAACAACACGTACAAGCTCAAAATGTCAATGAGGCAGCACAGATGCGAGAAATAATAAATTGTTTATTGCGGACTGCGCAGCAGCTTGAGCAAATGATGGCCTCCTTGCCACACAAATCGTCAAAGTCCTTGTCGAATGCAGCACTTGGTGAGCAAGAGCGAATAAAACTGAAAGTAACAAAACAGGTCTTTGAATTTGCACCAGTCGAGGGCGAAGAAGCATTTTGGTCGAAGGAGACTCAGATTAAAGCTGATGTCATCACGAATGAGGCTGATTTTGACGCATTTATTATTCCTTTCTTCAGCAGCATACTAGAAAGCTGTGGTTTGGTATACGTGAATAGTGAGAGGTATCAATGGTTCTCTCAGGGTTTCAAATTATATAAGAACAAACACCTCAAACCGGATGGATTTGCGACCCATCCTGGAATGTATCGTGTCAAGCCAGAACCGCAAGATCGTGTTCATCGCCCGGATGGATTTCGATTTGGAGTTGCAGAAGAAGAATTGTTCGACTGCCTCATTCTGTTCGAAAGCAAGCTTAGTTTATCTGACGCTGCGTTTGGGCAAGTGGTAAAATACCTGCAAAACCTTTGCCCCGAGGCGTCAGCATACGCCATTCTTTTTGACCGTCAGTCATTCTGGTTAATCAGTAGCTACAAGGGTTATGTTTACAGAGTTCAAAAGGCGAAGTGGATCACCAGGGGCTCGAAATCTTTGTTTCAGAACTTCATTTGTGAGAACACGTCGCCGTGGGTGGCATACTTGACCAATGCCTGCGAGGCATTACATGTTAATGTGGTGGAAGGCGATGCATTTCTCGGCCGTGGTGCATATGGACGCGTTTTCAAGGTAACTGGGCAGGATGGAAAGATTTTCGCGCTGAAAATCGCAACGGATGTGGAACGTCTTTATCGGGAGCGACGAGCCTTGTTAATGGCCGAGCACACAGGCTTGACGATTAAACCTATTGGAGATGTCACCGCAACTATGGAAAGCGGTGCGCTATTACTGTGTCCTGTCGGGAAACCTTTACCGCGACCAACGACTGGAATGGAAGTACGAAACCTCTTTTACATGTTATGGCAGCTTCACGCGAATAACCTGGCTCATGGAGATCCTCGTGTGTCAAATGTGATACTCACTGAGGAGAAGACTCTCTGGATTGATCTTGTGATAGGAGATAATGCGACCCCTTATTTGAAACGACGGGATGCTGAAATACTTACACGTTCCATTCTGAGACTCCCTTACGAGAATTCGCTGAGCCTGGCGCTGGTGCAGTCGCTTAATAGCTATTTTCAATGCGCTACGCAAGAAAATCTCGATCGTTTGGCTGAAGAAGTAGCATCAGCTGCAGGTTTTAGTGACTAGGAAACGCTCTAGCAGAAAGCGGAACCCTGTCGAGCCCAATGACGTCGTGGTGATGATGTTGCTGCGATGGCGCAATATATAAGTGATTGTGGTCAAGATCGTGAGTCAGGATAGGAAGGATCTAAAACGTTGAACAGGCTTAGAGGTAGCAAAGGTTTGCGAACTAAGGACCTGAGTATATTTTTTGCATCTTGCCATCTAAAATTATTTTTGATAGTCGTAAACTTGATCCACAATGGTACTGGCGTTCGTTGAGCAGAGAACAAGCAAGAGTTCAGCCAGCAATAAAATAGCACACATACGCGGGATGAAAGTGTTTCAAGTGTATTGGACTTGAACTTAGTTTGTGGCCTGTGACCAAGTCTAAGACTGTGTGGAGGATTTTGCATAACCCACGGCAACACTGCACTTTGCGGTGCAGTGCAGTTAATTTGGTTTTACATTGAGACTGAAGTTGTGAACGATTACACTAGCTCCGCGTTTTCGAAGACTTGTATTGCGCTTCACGTAAATGCCCATGTCACTGTTGCATTGGGTAAGAAGCAAGAGTCTACTTCGTGAGTGCGTGAGTGTTGGATCTGTCCTTATCAACATTTCTTGCTTCTTTAGGTGTACTAGTAGCGTATAAGGTCATGACTCCCAGTGGCAGCGTATTCTCTCACCAAGTCAACATAAGCACTAGCAGGTGTTCCTACGTATAGCTTGCGAACTACAAAACTAATGTTCATGAGGCGTAATGTTGTGTTGTTTGACATGCGATGCCTCAGGCCCATGGATTCAACGCAGCTTTGACTTGTAACATTATGCCAGTATTCATAGCGCACAGTATGTGCCACCCTTGATAATTAGATTAAAGCCGCCCAAATCGACGCCATCACAGGCTCGTTGCGGTCAGTTTACTAAAGTGGAGACATATCCAAACAACTCGTTATCGTCCAGGTCAACATCCGCTGACATGCATGCAGAAGTTAGTTGCGATCATCTTCACGTCTTCGCCGATAATGTCGTAAAAGTTTGAAACGGACGTGTTGACTTCATCCGGTCCCTGTAAACGTTAGCGCCACACTATGTTCTCGCACTCCGTTTTCATTCATGTACAAGTACTTGCGTTGTTGAGACTGGCGATGGAATGCTTAAATAGTGTCGAGAGCAGTTGCACGAAATCTCCATCAACAGTCTATTCTGTATTACACCACTTCAAGCAAGTGCACAGGAGGCGCAGCATTCATCGCTGCCAGTGCAAAAGACTGGTTGTAGATGGACACCTCACGCTGATGCAAGTACGAGTGGCGAATGGCAATAACCCACATAGCCGCAAGCATAATGGTCTGAAAAATGTTCGCTGACACTATATCATCCTTGGTGGGCCCCTGCCCGCCATAGGGGTAATGCACTTGCTCCGTGGGGAAGTCAGATTCGAAAATCTGTACAGTCGTGTAAATCTGCTCTATTACTGTAAGAATGGCGAGCCACACGACACCTCGGCAGTAGAAACGAATTGGGCGAATATCTGTGTCATGTGCTGCCTTGAAGCCAACGCAGCCCACATACACACCGAAACAGTGCACCATAAGTTCAATACTACCAATAAGCGGGTCTGGTGTGTAGTACTGTGGAATCTCGTAGCGGCGCATGGACCGATCAGTTTCACTAGCCCCCGTAACTTCCTGCTCCTGCTGAGCCGCACGCTGCTGATCATTCGCCAGTAGCGCAAACTGACCCATCACCTTCATCGTGTATATAATCAACAAGAAGGAGCTCCAGAGTTTCACGCGGCGAGCACAATTACCCAGAGACGAGTCCAGCATCAACGGGTCCACTCGTCTGGCCGAATCGGACGGGAAGACAGCCGATGACACAATTTCACTGTTTATATTTACGACCGTAGCACCGTCATCTCGTCCTCCGTTCGTGCTCCCACTAGCATTTAGTTCAGCATTCAAAATCTCGGGATCGGGTGAGCTCGCTGCCCGCACAAACAAGTGAATAGTGTGTCCATCCTCCAGCTTGTAACTGTCAAGTGATGCATTATCCTCCAATACGCGTCCGCGATAGATGAGTCTCTGCGACGTCACTGCTACTTCCGTGCATTCCAGCACCTTCTGTTTCATGTGAGACACGGTCCAGTCCAGACGACATGTAATATTAAAGAACTTGCCATTCAAGTCCAAGATACGGACGTGAATAGCGTCTAAATCTACATCAGTGTCACTGTTATTGGGCTCTTCAATTGTCTTGTCTTCTTTCGTCTCTTCAAGAGAAGACAAACACGACCCTCCTTCTTCCTTCTTCTCCTGAAGCTCTACAGTCTCCTGATACTGCTGACGTTGCAGCGTCAGATGCTGCGACTCCTGTACGTCCGCTTCAGTCTCACTGTCGCTGCGCATGAGCGCCGACCTGCCGTTTGTGACACTAACGGAGGATGACACACGAGTGGTCTCGCCATCTATCGATTGATGCTGCATATGTGTATGTCCTTGTTGTTTTTCTTCTTCTTCTTCTTCTTCGTTGTCTCTTGGTACCATCTCGTATCTGCGTCCGCGCTCAGTGCTCACTGTAGGAGACGTCCGTAAGAATCGCCCCATTGTCGTGAAAAGACTGTCGCTTTCTTAACTGAACCGACAAGAGATACTGTCATTGGTGGAAATCCAGTACAAAATTGACGGAAAAGGGTTGACCCATGGTGATGGATTTTGACCAATGTCATTCGTTATAATTTAGCGGAATATGAAGAAGACGAAGACGACACCAGTGGCCATGCAGTTTAAGCGGCCACGAGACGGTCAGGCTGCAAGATTCAAGCAGCAAAAGCACAAGACTAAGCAGAAGGTGGAGATCATGCGGCCTTGGACGACACCACAATATGAGGAGCTGTCGAAGGAAGAGCGCGATATTGTACTGGATCGACTTCAGAAAGAGGTGGCGGACGTGCCGTTTACATGTAGTCACGCAGTGCAAGGCGTGAATCAGGTGGCCAAGGCAGTAGCCAGAGGGGAGCTACGAGTCGTAGTTTTTGCCAACAATCCCGAATCGCTGGTGTTTGGTCATCTGCCGTTGCTCTGTCGACTGCATCAGGTGCCCATTTGCGTACTGCATCTCTCGTCCAAGACATTTGGTCGACTCTTTGCGCTCAAAAGCATGGTAGCTATTGGAATTCGATCGCCTAAGTTGAAAGAGAATGAGACTATGACGAGCTGTGAAAAACAGTACGTAACTGGTATGACTGCTACCGATACCACTAGTTTTGCTACTGTTGTGAGGAAGAAGAGATTCAAACAAGTGACGGAAGGCGAAGTTGAGAAACTCGTGAGTATCACGGACTTTTTGATCTCCAAAGCAAGTTGTAGACGATAGACACCCACATTTAGAAATAGATTTTTGTTTAGAAATTTGCAATACAATAAATAATTTCCTTTTTAATTGAAGTTCATTTTATCGTCCTAAAACTCCAATTAATTTAGTTGCAAATTAAAATTAATTGTCGACATGTCTTCGCTACACAAGGTATTGGTGGTGATTGGCACCACGGGTGCAGGCAAGACGAAGCTTTCTATAGATTTAGCTAAAGCTGTAGGAGGCGAAATTGTCAATTCAGACGCAATGCAAATGTATCGGGGCCTGGACGTGGCCACGGCAAAGATCACAGAGCAGGAAAAGCAAGGGGTCCCACATCACCTCTTTGATGTGGTGGACCCAAGTTCTCGTTGCAATGTGCTGGAGTTTAAGCGTCTGGCATTGCAGATCATAGACGACATTTTGAAGAGAGGAAAAGTGCCTATTGTCGTGGGCGGTACCATGTACTACACGCAGTCCATTCTCTGGAAATCTCAGCTGCTGGACGACGTGCCGCTCAAGACGTCGACCGAGCAACAGAAGCACGAACAACAGACACCTGAGAGTGTCTATGCCCGACTACGAACTGTTGATCCGGTGATGGCTACGAGATTGCATGTTAACAATGTGCGCAAGGTACAGCGCAGCTTGCAGGTGTTCGAGCAGACAGGTATCCCTCATAGTGAGTTGCTGGCTCAACAGGAACGGGAGCAGCACAATATCGAAAGGTATTTCGACGCTTGCGCCTTCTGGGTTCATGCGAGTCAACCGGTGCTGAGTGAACGTCTTGTGAGACGGGTGGACAAAATGTTGAGTTCTGGATTGTTGGAGGAGATTCGTAGCCTGCGTGCTCACATGAAAGAGAACCCCCCACGACTGAACGCGGGTAATCATGACGAGGAAGAAGCACAGAACTCCGTCGGCGTTTTGCAATCCATCGGATACAAGGAGTTCCAGCCGTATTTTGACGCACTAGAGGCTGCTGACGGTACATCGGACGACCCGAAGGCGCTGAAGATCATCTTGGATTTGTGTATTGAACAGCTGAACATTGCCACGCGCCAGTATGCTCGCCGACAGCTCTCGTGGATTCGGAACAAGTTTGTGACGAAGAATATTCCCGTCTATCAAGTAGATAGCAGTGATGTCACGAAATGGAACGCGCTCGTGGCTCAACCTGCTATTTTAATTGCTCAGAAATTCCTGGTAGGCGAAGAGATCACAACATACCAGACGGTCCAGCAGCAAAAACCAGAGGCAGCCCAGGCAGCTTCATTGGAGGACAAGTTTCAGAAGAACTTTTGCTGTGTCTGTAATGGACGTGAGTTCACGGGCAAGAAGCAGTGGGCTGAACACTTGCGTTCAAAGGGGCACAAATACCATCTCAAGCGAATACAGATACAGAAGGAGCAAGGAGAACGAAGAGCTTAAATTGCAGCCATAATCAGATCTAAATTATCAGGGTAGAACCCAACGATGACATGTTAACACGTTGCTTCTTCTTCTTGTCTATCTATCTACAGGCTGGTCATTGCTTACGAAATTTTCTGTATCGTAAATTCCGTTCAAGCTGGCCGTTCAAAACTGAGAATGCACGCTTTTTGTCCGCGCTAGTGACTTTCTCCTGCAAACTAGCATCCTCTATGGTGTCGTTTTCCTTCTTACCTTCGCTTGCAGAGCCCTTCTTTTTACAAAGAATAGAGGTAGCCTGAAGCTTACCCGCTTTCTCCGCTTCGAGTGTGTCTTTGAGTTGCTGAAGGGCTTTGGTGTAACGGGGCACCAATGTCTTCATATGGTCTTGCTGGAGTTGGTACGGTTTAAGTTTGTTGCTGTCTGACTTCTTAAGCATGCGCATCATGCCCTTCGTCTGACCCATCTTAACGAGGGTCACACAGCGACCATGACGGCCAGCACGAGCCGTACGACCAACACGATGAATGTACGTTTTAATAAACGAGGGCACATCGTAGTTGACAACGTTCGCGACATCCTCGATATCCATACCGCGCGCCATTGCGTCTGAACACACGACAGTCTCCACGCGTCCAGCCTTACAATCCGCCACCAAGGCCGATCTCTGTTTTTGCGATAGACCACTCGAGAACTCACGAATACGCTCGGAGTGGGTAGAGTACAATTGAAGTAATCGTGCTAGACGATGCGTGGAGTTTACACTCGCCGTGAAGACGATCGACAACGAGCCATCAAACTCGCTAAGTAGCTCCAACAGCACCAACGGCTTCGATCCAGTGTCACACTCGATCCAGTACTCATCCAGATTCGTTGGCGTCGAGTACATTTTCGTCGAGCTCGAAGCTTCGTCACCTTCTTCTACCTCATCATTCGAGTCGCTAGCAATGCCTTGCTTGGGATTGTCAGCCAGCGGGTCATCCATCCGTCCAATCCTGGTCAGCTCCGCATTGCTCATACCGATGGCTGCTAATTTACGTGGGTTGCGCGTAAGTGTAGCAGACAGTAGCACTCTGGTGAGCGGCGTGCGGATACGACGTCTGTTTATGGAGTCCTGACGCCGACAAGTGACACCCACTTCTACATCTTGTCCTTCATCGTCCATCTCTTGGCCATTAAAGACACTGGCGTAGACCTTGGTGATCCAGTCCTGGTACGACTGATTCAAAAGTCGATCCGCTTCATCGACAATCATAATCTGCAGGTGCTGCAATGTAAAGCCTGGCGTCTGTTCCAGATGATCCACGAGTCGTCCTGGTGTAGCAACCACAATGTCCACCAAGCTGTGTCCTCCATGTGTCTTTATAGACACCATAGCACCTGAAACATCCCCCACCAAAGCATTCTGTTCCATTGTAAAATTGTTTTGACCAATGGCCAGTCCACACTTGAGTGGTGTGTCCTTGCAAAACTGCTGCACAATCTGATGTACCTGCACGGCCAGATCTCGACTGGGCAGTACAATGAGTGCACGTATGCGACACACCACACGCGGAAGAAGACGATGTATGATAGGCACCACATACGTTAGTGTCTTGCCGCTACCCGTCGGTGACGAGATGCAAATGTCGGTCACGCGGTCGCTGTCGCTCGCCAGGATCTTGGGGATAGCCACGGCTTGCACGGGGAAAAACGATCGTATTTTCAGCATGTCTAGCGTACTGCACACCTCTGGTGCCAAGTTCCATTGCTCAGCCAGCTTAGTTATGGCGTATTTGGCCAACAAGTCCGGGGTCTCATCGTCATCCTTCACCATCGCCAATGGTTTAAGTAAAATAGTACTCGTAAAGAGTACGTGGTGGTAGTATACTACACACCAGTAGTAAAGCAGTACAATATACAGACCTTTTCCAATGAGTTTGACTCCAATAAGTTATAACGTTTCGGTAGATTATCAAAACTTTTGCGTCGTTCTATGGTCGCTACGTTATAAGCTATAAGTAAAAATTAGCCAGGGCGATATAACATTAAATAATAAATACTTTTCTTGTATTTTGAAAAAAAAAACTACTTCAACTACACGTCACGGGTAATTTGGATGGTGGGATTCGTTGCGAATGTCAAGTTGAAGGTCGCGGAGAACTCTATAAGCAGCTTTATGGCTTTCCTGGATTACATTAAGAAGGGAACAGGTATCACGAAGAAGGTTGTATCTTTCAATACTGGTGAGCTTGTCTGCGACAGGTGCCGCGTCTCCACTATTTCACTCTCCTTCCGTGCTTCACTTACCTCGGTCAGCTCCGGCTGAGCGGTAAAAATAGGCAAAGCTGGACAACCAGACCATACTTACTTCTCCCTTGACCAAGACAGACTACAGCCCCAAGGTTCAACTGCTGGAAAGAAGTAAAGTTTTAGACTCCTTTGTTAGTTCTACCCGTGCCCAAAGGTTTGAGACACGTCGTCAATCTGTTTTCCTGTGCTAATCATGAAAGCTAATGTAAATGTATGGTGTCTTGCCTACCTAGATTAGTCATAGATGTTACATACAAATTTATGTAAATTTACAGTATTTAACAGTATTGCAAAGCGCACGAAATGAACGAGTTGGAGCCTACCTTGATAGTCGTAGATGTTACATATAGCTTTTATGATTAGCACAGAGAAAACAGGGTGACGACGTGTCTCACACTTTTAGTACGGATTTGAACTAACACAGAGTCTGGAACTTTATTTCATTTAGCAGTTGAACCTTGTAGCTGGAGCATGTCTTGGTCAAGGGAGAAGCGAAGATAGTCTATTTGCTCAGATTTCTCTTATATTCTGGTCGGGTTGTGGTGAAGCCCTCTCGGAAGGCTAAAGCTAGCTCGATGCTATCTCAGGCCTGCTTCCCCGGCATCCGTCAGTTTTGATAGTCCTTTCCCTCTAGAGACCTCTCTCTTGTCGCTATCACCTCCAGCCGCCAGCCAATCCGCCACTGTAACGGGCTAAAAGTTACACGGTTCGTTAAGTATCGAATACTAAACGGGCAGGCCTAAATGAGTACGAGGTACCTTAGGCCTGCCACTTGGGTGTGCCACATCAATGTGGCCCACCCTCGTGAATGTGATATCCATGGATGGATTCACATTCAACGAGGATGACGCGAGTTGGGTCTGGGCGTCATGGTGACGCTTCAGACACACGTCATCAGCGAGCTTAAATATATTCTAAGCTCGCACGTAAGGATACGTTTCTGAAGAGACGCGTATCCAATCTTTGCATAAGTCAGTCTTGAATCTACTAAACATCGCACACTGCGCACGAGAAGCTGTATAAGCTTCTGCGTGTCGTAAGTGTAGCTCTTGTCTTAGCAGTTCGTTGCGCGGTTCGCTTCAAAGTGACCGGCAATGGTTGGTACAGCGCTTCATAGCGCCGACCAACACCACTACCACCGCACGCGGAGGAAAGACAGTATAACCGCTTCCTCGCGCTACTTGAAGGTGTGCCCGCGTAGTACGTGGCAGCTTCATTACGAAGTGCCCGTCTACAGCCACGATGTACGCCGCCATGCCCGAAGTCCCGAAGTTTTGGCATATCCTCTTAGGTACGCTCGCGTAATCCTTTGTTCCCGGTGCAAGCAATACGGGACCTTCCCTGGAAGGGACCTGTTGACAAGATAGACATCCAAGGGATCCATGCAAGAAACCTACCGCTGGACACCGCCGTCGACTACCTCTATACCTGTACCTCTTCGCCTGTGTGCACAGGATTGTGCAGCCTGGAAAGCCTTCAGCGCTTAATGAGCCCTGACTGGAGTAGAGAGACATGTAGAGCATGAGAGATAATCTAGCGCATGCGGAAATTGAGCCACTTTGGTGGCAAGAGTCTCGCGTAACGCGTTTACATACATA